AGAATATAAATCTCCACAGGAGCAGAAAGCCTTATCCTTGCCCCATGAGCACCACCAATTCTCCCCCATAATTAGATTGTTGTTATTGTTAAGTGCTGTTGATTCAGTTCTGACTCATAGCAACCTATATGGGGTTTCCAAGGAGCAACTGGTGAGCCTAAACCACCAATCTTGCAGTTCAATCAAACCTTGCAGTCTAGCACATTAACCTGAAGCACCACACCTGGACAAAATGTCAGCTAGTACCATTGCATGTTGTTGTTGTTAACTGCTGTCGAGTTGGTTCCGACCCATAGTGACCCTGTATAGGATTTCTGAGGGGAAACTGGTCAGTTTGAACTTCTGGCCTTGTGGGTTCAAACAACTTTGCAGTCCAGTGCATTAACCCACAGCGCCACACTAGGACTCCAGTACCGTTGCATAGAAACTACTAATGTATTATGATGATAATTTAGGGGACAGAGTATTGTTAATGTTAAAAGTAGTGATAAGGAAAAAATTAAGAGAAGAAAGCAGCTATGCAGCTGTACTTTGAATGGTAAGCAGCACATTTGTATGGTGGTGGTGGTAGGGGGGGAGAGGTTGTATGCCACTGAGTCGGTGTGGACTCATAGCAACCCTATATATGGTTTCTAAGGCTGTGAATTCTTTATGGAAGTAAAAAGCCTCATCTTTATCTCAGGGAGTGTCTGAGATCCAAGAAACATGGTTGTAGAATTGATGTAGGCTTAATGAACAGAAACAACAAAGGGAGTGAGGTTCCCCAGAAAATAAAATAATCTCTTAATAACAACTGTAGAGCTTCTTTCTTGGTCTAGACAGTCAGAATATGCTTAACAAAAAAATCCCCATCAGCTGAGTTTTACTAAGTGATATATACTCAGATTTTGCTAATATGTATGTAAATATTGTAAAATATACCTGAAACCTAAAAAGGTTAAAAAATAAGATGTAAAATTAACAGTATTAACAACTTACATTTACTGGGCATTTACTACACATCACCAAGAATTGTTCTAAATCATTTAAAATATATTCATATTTAAATAAAAACATGTATGATTTTATTTCCGTTTTCCAAATTAGAAACCTGAGGGATAGGCAGGTGCAACAAAGTACAGAAACCATGACATGAAACAAATGATAAATGTGCTTAAGAGACAAACAATTCCGCTAGTGTATGCCATCTACAGTCCGAGACCTCAGGTGTATTATCACCGCTCTACCAAGAACATTCTGTCCAAACTGCAGAACAAGGATGGCAATCTTGATCCTTTCCCATAGCCTTGCCAAGGTAATCCTAACAGTTCCAGTCAATCTAGAGTGTAATATAACTGGAAATGTGAACACAAAATGTTCATCAAGGGTGCAACAATAGCTAAAGAATTTATAAGATTAAAAGTGGAAGACTATTTTTGAGAATAACAAAGCGTAGTTTATTAAATATCGTTTTTTGGTAAAAATCAGTAATAAATCATGCTTTGGAAAAAGTAGCCACTTACTGTTGTGATTGCTGTTAAGTGCCACTGACTCATAGTGACTCTGAACAGGGGTTCCCACGAACAGCTGGTGGGTCTGAACCACTGACCTTGTGGTTAGCAGTACAGTGACACACCAGAACTCCAGCTAATTAGGGTTGTTGCTAAGTGCCATTGAGTTGGTCCCAACTCACAGAGACCCTATATAGAGGAGGAGAAGCTGGTGAATTTGAACCACTAACCTTGCAGCTCAAATCAACCTTGTGGTCCGATGTTTATTCTACAGCGCAACACCAGGACTTATCAGTAAGATGTAAAAATTCTGGAACAGAGTGCCTTTTTCGACAAAGCAAGTTCAAGCTTCCCTACTTCAAGCTTTCATCAGGGCTCCTACTCCTTTGGTCATATTGGTGCCAAGCCTTCTTCCACTAATGGGACAATCACAAGTGTCAAAAAAGTGTCATAGCTTTAACAGATCTTATTTTAAAACAGGGCGCATGGTGGCTCCATTCAATAACCACTGGACTACGGCCTACAAAATCTGTGGTTCAAGCCCACCAGCTGCTCTGTGGGAGAAAGACAAGGCTTTCTGATCCTGCCAAGATTTAAAGCCTCAGAAACCCTATACAGAGTCGCTATGAGTCAAAATGGACATGAAGGAACTTAACAACAGCGACATTTTAAACAAAATAAAACACACCATTAGTTCAGCCAATTCAGAGTCAGAGTGAGCCTATCGGACAGAAAAGAGCAGCCAAATGGGGTTTCTAAGACTGTAATCTTTATGGAAGCACACTGCCACAACAATCCCCTGAACTTTTCAGTTAGCAGTCAAGCATTTAACCAATGTGCCACCAGAGCTCTTTATGAGTCTTATGAAATCCCATCAATTACAAGACAAATTGCAGATTCCTTGAATGTGCCTAGATCAAGCCTTGCACAATGAACACACAATAAATAGTTGTTAAATAAATGTATTACTCTCACATACAATGCATGTGCTAAAAGATATTGCCATTTCAAATATTACCTATAGAAAACTCCTGATCAAATAGGGTTAAATGCAGAACAGAATTTCAAATTCTCATAGAAGTCATGTTTTCTGGAGGAACAGAATCTGGATGAGATCATCTTTAAACCTTAAAAAAATAAAAATTAAAAAATGCCTGAGTCATCTTAATATCAAATAGTAGTTTAGTCTAACTAGTGAAAAACGTCTTACTTGAACATTATGTTGTTTTAAGAACTCTCTATACTAGATCAAAGGGACCCTGGTGATGTAGTGGGTTGCACATTGGGCTGCTGCTAACCACAAGGTCAGCAGTCTGAAACCACCAGCCACTTCACAGGAGAAAGATGAAGCTGTCTGTACCCAAAAAGATTTCCAGCCTCGGAAACCCTAGGGAGAAGTTTTATTCTGTCCTATAAGGCTGTGATGAGTCTGAATCAACTCAATAGCAGTGGGTTTTTATAATGGATCAAACTGACATCTGCATCTGGAAAGAGTAGACAGGAAAGTTAAGGATGTGAAGAGGGAGGAACAATTCAGAAAAGGAGGAGACAACTGAGAATGGCTGCAGACTTTGGAGAATGTAATCAACATCCTTGACCTGTACATGTAGAAATTGTCAAATTGGTGTATGTTCTGCTGTGTGTACTTCTCAACAACAAAAATATAGTCCCTAACTCCCATAATAACATACTACAAATTATTGTTGTTATTGTGAAGTACGGTGGAGTTGGGTCCGACTCAAAGCAACCCTGCACAGGGTTTCCAAGGCTGCAAATCTTTACGGGAGCAGAAAGCCTCATCTTTCTCCTGCGGAACAGCTGGTAGTTTAGAACTACAGCATCAAATAATGCAATAAGACAAATTTTAGAGCACATCAGAAAATTTATAAGTTTTACCAATTTGTTGGGTTAATACATCAGACTGCAAAGCCGTTTGAACTGCAAGTTTGGCGGTTCAAGCTCACCAGCTGCTTCTCGGAAACCCTATACAGGGTCGCTATGGGTCGGAACTGACTCGACGGCACTTCACAACAACAGCAACAATACACAAAAGAATGATATTCATTTTTAAAGTCAGTTTATGTTGCTACTGATAATCTTTGAGGCCACAAAAAGTTGATTAGAGATTTCTTTTTCATACACAATGGCATTCTTGTTGGTAACTGCCATCGAGTCGGTTCTAACCCATAGAGACCCTGTGTAGGGTTTCTGAGGAACGATTGGTGGGTTGGAACCATCAACCTTGTGGGTTCAAACTGACCTTGTTGTTGTTGTTGTTAAGTGCCATCGAGTCAGTATAGGGTTTCCAAGGAGCAGCTGGTGAGCTTGAACCACTGACCTTGCAGTTCAAACAGCTTTGCAGTCTGGAGCATTAACTCACAGCGCTACACCAGGACTAATTTCTTACAGCTTTCTCTGATTTTTTTCTTTTACATAAAAAACAAACTTTTTGAATTAGATATGAGAAAATTAGCTCTGTTAAACTAATGAGGTGGATCCCTGGTGGTGCTCGTAGGAAAAGCACTGGACCGGTAACTATAAGGTCAGAAGTTCAAACCCATCAGCCACTCGATGGGAAAAAGATGAGGCTTTCGGCATCTATATTTACAGCCTCAGAAACCTATACGGGGTCACTGTGAGTCAGAATCAACTCAATGGTAGTGGGTAAACTAATGAGGTGGCCTGTTGCTTCACAGTAATACTCTAAACGTAGTGAGGATAAAAACCAAGAAACAATGAAAACAAACATATACTTGTGAACATATGCTGCGAAAAATCTCACTCTATTTAATTCATAAGCTGAAACTCTTGCTTTCAGTCTATTGAACTGCTAAAAACATCATAGTAAACACACATAGCTTAAAAACTATATACAGGATTTCTTGGGCGTCGATATGAGGTGAAAGCAGTTGATCTTTATGCATAAAAGGTCCACTTAGTATAAAAAGTACACTAGTGCTGTGGCGCTGTAGGATAAGCACAGGACTGCCAGCAACAAGGTCAGTGGTTCAAACCTAGCAGCTGCTCCTCACAGACTCTATACAAGGGTATCTGTGAGTCAGAACTGACTCGAGCACATTACAATAACACTACACACAGTCTATTATAAGAGCAAAAATCCAGACTAAATTGTTTCTTAATGTTAAGCAGAATTTTTTTAAAACACAACTTAGAGTTGCTGAATATCAATTTATTAAGACAAGGAAAGATGACCTTATCTTGGCAAAACTCAGAACACTGTTTCTTCAACATCTTAGCAGACAGCTTGATGCACCACATTCTCCCATCTGTTTGTTCTGTTTCTTCATGACCAGAATGGAAATTAAACCCTTCACAAATAATGGCCAAAAATTGATTAATCACAAAAAAGCTACAGAGCAGAGAAATAGCATGATATGAATAGCAGAAATAGGTAGAATGTTAGGTGGAACCGCCTTAGAAAAAGACACAGGTGAGAGCAGGTTGAGACAGTAAATCTATAAACAAATAAATAATTCCATTCCCACTTACCTGAGGAGCTCTCAGTAAATACTGTCAATGTCTGTCCTCCAACACTTTGCAAAACAAATGGGTGTTCTCTAGGAGCACTGACTGATGCTGGTTTTCCACCAATATCATGGATATTTGCAAGATCCTCATTCAAAGTAAATGACACCTAACAGACACATTAACCAGCACTTACTACAATAGACTTTTGTCTCCAAAGTATCTGTACAGAAATTCTTAGTATAAATCAAACACTTTTTAAAATTCAATGTCTTTTCTATTCATTTGCTAAACAAATTTTTCATACTTAGATATTAGTCATAGAAAGAAAATCTATCCCCATTTACCAGGATAATAGGGCTATCATTACAAAGACAGCTCTTTAATGTTTTTGCTCGTCTGTAGCTGAGGAATGAATATCTTTCCAAAGCACAAATAACATTATTTTTCCCTATGGTCTTTGAGGTCAAAGGAATCATGTCTTGTGATCTTTATAACATTAAAACCTTGCACATAGTAGGAAACCAATATTTGCTGAGTGAATGACTATTTTAAGAAAGCCACAGTAATTCAAGGGGTGGGAAAAACGAGTTCTTTACTTCGAAAAGTTAAATACCTTCCATAAACAGAAGATGTATTTCTTATAAGGTTTTACTGACTACTGTATAAGTAAATGGTAATGCTTTATTTCTAAATAATTTAGCAAATACAACTAAATAATTACAAGGATAATTCAATATTAAGGTTTAGAACAGAAATACAAAGGTAAGAATTCTTTCAAAATGATTTTCACTGTAAACCAGACCTCCTCCCTCCAAATACTGAATAAACATAAAATTAGTATGCCTATTTTCGTGTGAAAAGATCATGAAATATTTATTAAATATCTACTATGTACTAGGTACCATAAATTATGCCCAAGGCTTAATGCATCACAATCTACAATCCAAATCAAATAAAGGCTTCTGCTATTCTAAAGTAGTACTAGGTTTCTAGTACTAGAGTACCAACACAGAGGATATTTTGGACAAAGGAAAAAAACATGAGAACAACTGAAAGAGTTCGTTTATTCACATAAGGGTGGCGTTTAAGCCTTTATGGGCTCCTGACCATCAGCAGTCTGCGTCTCACATGGAGTTTTCTAGAATTCAAATAATATCTTCTCTTTACTATTAGTAAGACACAGTAAAACAGTCTATATTTTAAATAAAATTTTTGCATAAAAATCTTACCTCAGTCCTTCCTTGAATCCTAAAAGAGAAGAAAATATTTTTTTTTAATACTTAAACATTCATGCTTTTTTTAAATGTAAGCTAAAAACTAAAGAAATATCACTACCTCACATTTGCATAAAATACTACATTTATAGATATAAACCAATATTTACCCTTGACACTTCTCAGTTACAAGCAGTCCCTGACTTATGACATTCCAGTTACGACTGTCCTTTTTTGTTGTCTTGTTTTTTATCATCTCGGAAAGCAGTTCTGCTAACCACCAAGCCACCAATGTTGCATATCTTGTCATTAGCAATATGCATCACATAGTGTTTCCCTGTGGAATTTGCTGATATTTATCATTCTTAGATGTTCACTCACAGAGGTTCAAATCTGCACAATGTTCAAAACACTGCTGTGTAACAGATTAAAACTTTTCCTGAGAGGACGTTGCAGGAAAATGCATGGAGGGGGCTATGGGGAAAAGTGCTATGTTATACGAACATGCTCCAAGCATTTGCTAACAATATGATGGCCAACATAGGCAGAAAAATCATCCACAAGGCAAGAACACTGAACTCAGAACTTGGTATCATCCTTGTGGGACAGCTCATAGATCACTAAGAAGGGGAAATGACAGAACAGAATAGAAAAGAACGCTGAAGAAGAGACAATGAGGAAGAAGTTACAGAGAAGTTATAAAATAAAAATTATAGTTAAAGGATTAGACGGAGCTTTTACTAAACTAAATCTGGGGTTTTAGATGCTTGAAAACATTGACCCAAATATGGATCGCTTTGCTAAAGCCACTAGGCAGATTCAGGAAGCAGTGAGATGCTGCCACAAAACATGTGCGGAAAGAGAAAAGAACCATACAGACAAGTTTTGCTAATTTTCTGACTAGAAACAATATCCCCAATCCCAAGGATAATCCAGCGGATCCTGAATAGTTCAAAGTGAATTATTACATCAGTGAACAAAATGCCAACATCATCAACCCGTGTTCATTGTCTGAGTAAATTTTATGATTAGTGTGTATTTTTTATGTATGTAGAAAATATAAGTCTATAAGGTTATAAGGTGTATTTCCAATCCCCAAAGGCAAATAAAGATCATATTTATAAGACTACTGATAATCATAGGCAACAATGAAAATTTCTTTTGCTTTTAATTAGTATTCAACTTGCATCAGAATACACTTAATAGTGAAATCACTGAAACAGAGCCCCTGTCATAAATTGGGGATTACCTGTGTGCTATCTCATTAATAAGGAGCTCTAGTAGCGTAGTGGCTATGAATTGGGCTGCAAACCACAAGGACAGCAGTTTGAATCTACAAGCTGTTCCATGGGAGAAAGATGAGGCTTTCTGCTCCATAAAGATTTACAGCCTCAGAAAACCTGTACAGGATCACTATGAGTTGGAACCAACTCCATGGCACATAACTAACCAACAACCAATCTCATTAATAATCTTATAGAAAAAACAAAGTCACATTAATCTCACATGAGCACTTTAAATAAGTCCACCTCACTTAAAACTTATTACCTGTCCCAACATTATCATCCACATAATGGCAAGACTTACCTTTATTTTTAGCACTCAACGGCATGTAAATGCATATATAAAGCCAGCCAGACAGGGCATTTCAGCAAATTGTACCACGTAATTTAAATAAAGATGCTTCATTTACCGGTCAAAATTTTAAAGATAAAAATTAATTAACAATTTTGAAAATTATAATCAATTTTCTTGTATTATAAAAACATTATGTGCTCATTATATAAATATCTATAATACAGACAAGTCAAAAGAAGTTTTTAAATAGCCGTAATTCCACTTTTAACATACTGATAGAGGACATCTCTTATCTGACTTGCTATATATTTAGATGTTCGTCTTTAATTTCTTTTCTTAATGGAATCAATGTTCACCCTACATTACAGTCTAATTTTTTAACTTTTATTAAAACCTACTATACTCCAGGGGTGGCACTACAGGATAAACACTGAACCGCTAATCTCAAAGTCAGTGGTTCAAACCCACCAGTGATCCTCGACTCCTATACAGGCTCTCCATGAGTCAGAACCAACTCCATGACACTTGACAACAACAACATACACCAAAAAGGAGTTCTGGTGTAGGGCTGTAGGATAAGCACTGAACCGCAAGTCGGTATGAACCTCAAGTTCTGCAGTTCAAACTTGCCTCAGAAACTCTGTATACAGTGTCACTATGAGTCACACTGACTCAGCGACACTTAACAGTAACATACTCCAAGATGGGGTCCTGGTGTGGCACTGAAACGTAAGCATTGAACTGCAAACCACAAGGTTGGCAGCTCAAACCCAACAGCAATTCCTAGAAAACCATAGAGAGTTGCTATGAGTCAAAACCAGCTCAATAGTACTTAACAAACAAAAAAACATACCCCAAAGTAAAGGAAACTGGGTTGCTATCCACAGTTTGAATCCACTAGGCACTCTGTGGGATATATATGAGGCTTTCTGCTCCCATAAAGATTTATCGCTTCAGAAACCCTATACACGAACACTACGAATCGAAACCAACTTGACAACACACAGAAGCAGCATAATCCAAAATGCATGAGGAAGTTGGACGGTGAATAAGGAAGACTGTAGAAGAATCAATGCATTTGAGTTATGGTGTTGAAGAATACTGAAAGTACCACGGACTTCCAGAAGAACAAACAAATCTGTCTTCAAAGAAGTGCAGCCAGAATACTCCTTAGAAGTCAGGATGGCAAGACTCCATCTCTCATATTTTGGGCATGGTATCAGGAAGGAACAGTCCCTGGAGAAAGACATCATGGAGAAGGGCACAATGGAGGGTCAGCGAAAAAGAGGAATGCCCCCAATAAGAAGGCTCGACACAGTGGCAAAAAACAATGGGCTCAAACAACAACTGTGAGAATGGTGCCAGATCGGACCGTGTTTCATTCTATTGTGCACACAGTCGCTATAAGCTGAAAGTGCCTTGATGGCACCAAACAAGAAAACAACATGCCCAATTTTAGATGAATTTAAGATGTTACTAGTCATCAGGAGACACAAAAGGTACATGCTGCTGGTGTTGTTAAGTGCCGTCAAGCCGATTCCAACTCACAGCAACCCTGCACAGGGTGTCTGAGGCTTTTAAACCTTGCAGGAGGAGCAGAAAGCCTCGTCTTTCTCCTGTGGAGCAGCTGGTGGGCTCAAACCATGGACCTTGCTGTCTGCAGTCCAGTGCTTATCGTATGGAGCCACTACACTCCCACAAAAGGTACATACATATTATTGTATGTATGTGATAAATGTTAAGTTCAAATAGAGAGCCACAATATACCAAGATTAGATAGGAAGACACTGTTTCTTCCATTTTAAGAGTTACAAAATGGCTCAATGCAGGAGGCAGCTCCAAGCTGAGCCTTGAAAGGTTTTAGGACTCCAACAGACTGATATGGAAGAACATTGTACCAGAACTGAACAGCTGAGCAAAGTCACAGAACTGTCTGATCCAAAAAGTACCGGAAGTAGCTGGAAGGAAAAATACAAAGTAAGAAATAGTGGAAATGGAAATACAATACATAATTAGAGCTAAACCGTGGAAATTCATAAACCTCACAATATAGACTTTATTTTATAAGAAATGGAGGTTCACAGGTATTACTTCAACAAAAGAATTCGCATGTACAATGATATGCTCCAGGAAGCTTGTACCAGCAAAGATTATAGAACAGATAAAAGATACTACTGGTGTGGCGCTGTGGGTTAATGCGCCAGACTGATAAACCGTTTGAACTGGAAGGTTGGTGCTTCAAGCTCACCAGCTGCTCCTCGGAAACCCTACACAGGATCGCTATGGGTCGGAACCAACTTGACGGCACTTCACAACAACAGATATGAAGACCAGTTAGATAACTATTTTATCTTTACAACACCCAACTTTGTTTCTACCTGCCTAACCTGAGTTGCTCAGTCAGTCACTCTTCATGGCACAATGAATGTTAGCTCCTGTCCTAATGAAAAAATCAGATTCTTTCCAATAGACATGAGGTACAACAAACTGCCATAGAAATGAAGACTACTGGCTGGGGAAAAGATGAATTGAGTGAGGTCACCAATCTAGAGACATTCAGGGCTAAAAGAATAGTCAGAGACTAATGAGTACACAGCCTTATAATAGCACATTTGTTTACTGTAGATTCTTTAATATATTAAAAAGCAACATGAATCTCCTATTTGTTGGGTAAGTATCTAGAAGAGAGATGTAAAAAACTGAAAGATCATATATAAAAATATGAATTCTCAGCTTTTCTTACAACTCGTAAGAATATTTGGCAATACTGGGACCACCTTTCAGCATGACCACAATCCCCTGACATGTACAGGTGGGATAGGAATTAAATTCACCAGAGTCCTTTCCACCCACTAACAGAAGCCTATCATTTTGCTATCTTTAAGACAGAGATGCTGAAGACAAGACAAAATGGACATACAAGTCATTCGCATGGTGTTTACTGAATTGAACTGAGGTTAATGACAATAATCACATAAAAGGTAACAGAAAGAAATAACAATGATGAAGACTTGAACCGGGGAGTGGTGGGAGGCATGTGATCCATGGCAGGATCACTGAGCTGTTAAAACTGATGGACAAAAACTGACAGGATGTGGACAGCAAAGGAAACAGTGAATTAAGAAGACCATGCTGACATGTCTGGCCTGGTGAGTAGAAAACCACCCAGACGCAATTAGGGAGCACAGGTGGAAAAGAAGCCTCCTTTCAAACCCATAGCATTATAACAGCATCTTAGCTGAGATGATAAAGAAGGAGAGATTTAGATGAGTTCATTATCAGAAATCCTTAAAGAACGCAAAAGTTAATTTTTTTAAAATGACATCTGCTTTTGACTTTGTGTATGAATGGATGAAGTATACATGACCTTTTGCTGTTACATATTATGACTACAATTTAACTTTTCCTTGCTGGCCCGTGGTCCAAATTCTAAGCATCAACTATTGCACAACATGG